TACTTTTTTTTAAAGATATTATCAAATATTTAATTTTTTCGTTCGAGGGTGTCCTTCTGATGGATATACCTTCACGGAAGATTTCCTCACTTCAATATAACTGTATATAAGGCGAAACAAATTAGCGACTACGAAAGGATAAACGTTTCCCAAAGGGTTTCAAAGACATCTTCTGAGGGGACAGTCATTGACAAGATATAGATCTGGGTCGTTCCGATTACGTAGACCCGCCTAATTGGGAACGATCAGTAATAGGTGTGAGAAAAATTCTCTCTCGAGTAGATAAACTTGCAAATTTATACACGAACGCTAATTTATAGGAATTTGCAAGTTTCACTGCCAGCTTGTGCCCATGGTTGAATTTCAGACATCACTAATTTTAATAGAAGTTTTAAAATTATCGCACAAGTTTATAAATTTTTAAATTCAAAGAATTTTTTTTTTATTGAAATTATGCTTTTCGTGATTGTGAATTCTTGGCAGAAATACACTCGGAGGTTTGCCATTGCCTGCCGAGGGGCGACCGCTATTAAAAAAAAAAAAATGGGTGTATAATTTTTTTTTTAGACATCCGCTAAAAACAGTTAAATCTCATTTTTTCCTGTAACTTTCTTATTTGATGTCCAATTTTTTAAATCTTTATGTCGCCGAAAAGTTCTCGCTCAGGACTATAACTGGTCCTTTAAAGGTTTTGGTCTTAAAACCCGTTTTGATTTATCTTCACTTATTTTGGAAATACTATCCCTTTTGTTTTTTATTTTTATACTCTCTTTCAAAAAATTGTCGGAACTTTGCTAAAAAAGTGTTGAACTTTATTCATAACCCAGCAGGCTATAATGTTTTAAATACTTATGTGGAGGCTCACATATGTACATCCATAAATAGTTTTTGTGTTGATGTATTTTGGAATGAATTTCGGCCATCCCCTGTCAGATTTGGTTTGGAGGCAAATCGGTTTCAGCGTTGTGCCATCTTCAGTGTCATTTTTTTATACCCGATCGCAATTGTTCACAAAGGTATTATAGCTTCGTTCACACAATGGTTGTTTGTAACAGCATAAAGAAATCGAGATAGATATAGACATACATATATATTTATAAAAAAATGCCCAGAATGAAAAGAGAAATCGACTAAGACTGATCGTACGTCCGTCTGTCTGTGCACATGACAAATGGAGTAAAAGTTGGGATATCTCAACGAAACTTGGCATGTGGGTGGCCCTTCATAATACAATAATACATAAACTGCGATAAATTCGTAGCTACTGAAGCTTATTCAGTAAAAATTTTGGCATTAACCAAAATGATTTATTTTCTTTTGTTTTTGATGTTTGTCGGAAACTGGGCTCGATCTAAGACTCTGTGGAATAGTAGCGCGCACTTCTGAATAGAATTTTCAGCTCAAAGATCATTTTTTACTGCTGCGATTGGTTTACGAAAATTTCAGACTGCCAAGAAAATGGATTTTTGGCTTTAAATATTTGTTTCAAGCTAAGCAAGATAGAAACTCGCTCAACTATTTGAAATTTTTTACCAACTTAGTTGTATTTGGCCGAACAGTTTGTTTGACCGAACAAACATTTTTCGCTGGTTGAGCTATTTCCATACAAAATGCCTTAATTTAGATCATGAAAAGTTAAATAAAAAACTTACAAATCTAAGCCTCCACATAAGTATTAAAAACATTTTAACTTTTTTGTTTTAGCAAAGTTCTCATAATTTTTTGAGACATTTTGGGAGAATTCACCAACAAAAGATTAACTATGAATATACATATATTCAGAGTCAAATAGTGAACTATGGAAATTGATGTGGAAAATCAATTGGGTTGTTCACACTTGCCTAGTTATCAGGTTATCTGGTTAAAAATTATTATTCTGTAATGTTTGTAATTATTTTAAATGAAATGAATGAATAAAAAAATAACCACATAACCAGATAACCTGATAACCAGGCAAGTGTGAACAACCCAAATATTTTTCTATACAAATTTGAAATTCGTTCCACAAAAGAAAAATTGAATTTCACAAGAGTTTAACCAGAGAACGTATATGAATGAGAAGGCGCATTTTTAGTGTGGAATGCCGGCTGCCACCACACCAAAAATTCCACCAGTTACGTTATCTGGTTAAACTATGGGGGGCATGCTGAGTTAAACTTTTGTCAACTGAGCGTTGTGACTATCAAAACCGATAGTTAAAGCTCTTGTTAACTACGCACTGTGAATTTGGCCCTTAGATTTATAGTATAAAAATAAAAAAACTAGGGATAGTGTAGTGTTTACAAAATCAGTTAGAGTATAAATCAAAATCGGTCTTAAGACCAAAACCTTTTGAGGGCCAATTATAGTCCTTAGCAAGACCTTTTCGGTGATAAAAAGATTAAAAAAATAGGATATCAAATAAGAAAGGTATAAAAAATACAAAAATTCGTAGTAAAAAAATAACATATGTATTTCGCACGATGTACTTACGATTTTTATATATCAAAAATAGGACTTTTAGATGACAAGCCTTAAACCCTAAAAAAAGTACTGCCCTTTGAAATAAATTACGGATGGTCACCGTACGCATAAACGCAATAGAAGAGCAGCGGGCACAGATGAGCGCGGGATATCGGGACCCGCGGGACCCACGGTACTTATTTCAAAATGGCCGGCATGGCGGATATCGGTAAGGTCTCCAAAAATTATCCGGGTGGGACGGGAATCCTTTCCCGACACTCCCGGTGTAACCCGAAACATCCACAAAGACAGGCAATTTTCCTTAAAAACGATTTATGTTTTCTTGATACTTAAACGAACAGAAAAGCAAAAAAATAACAATCGGAGGATGCCAGAAGTTTTTTATTATTTAAAATTTATTTCAAAGGCCGGTGAATTTATCTTGGTTATAGATTTCGGGACCTACGGGACCAGCGGTAAAATTCTGGAAATCATCGGCATGGACGGATTTGGGACTTTAAATTTAAATTTCGGGATGGGCGGGATCGGGATCGAATATTTAGTCCCGTGCCATCTGTAGTAGCGTGTCAAGAATGATAGAATACAAGATTGCGCCAATTGAGCTGAGAGCAACTGGCCGTGACGTCAAAATATACTAGAATGAGAGAGCAAGACGAACTCGACAAGAAAAAGAAGAAGCATCGAACAAAAGGCAGTATTGCCAAGTTTTGAATTTGAAAAAGCACCAAATTTTTATTGGTGTATTTTATGGACTTTATATGAATACATAATTTTATTATAAGGATGCCCATTCAAATTAATAAAAATCAATGTTTCTTGCACAACGGTCGATTTCTTCTGGCATGATTGAAGGTGCTGCACAT